GTCCTTCCGTCTGTCTGTTGGTCAACAAGATAACTCAAGAACGCCTGGATGGATTGGTTTCATACTTGGTGTGTTGGTAGGGTGTGACAAAAACTGGAAATGATGAGATTTTGGTCCCCCTAGTGGCTTCCCTTGGTACTGCAGCGCAACTTCCGGTTTTGATATCTCGCGATCTGGACATGCTAGGGTCATGAAATTTGGATGGAAGGTAGCTCTCGTGCTTGGGAAGAAGTCATATGAGTTTGGGCCCCCTAGCGGCTTGTTCTGGAACTGCAGGGCACTTTCTGGCGAAATGTTTAAAAGCCAATAAGTCCAGACAGGAACAACATATTTTCATTATTTTTGGTGTGTAGGTAGCTGAGAGAGAGATGTACATAATTAAATGTAAATTATGCAAATGAGGACTTTATTTGCATAATTAATGAGGAAATTCTATAATTACAGTGTTTTACATTATACTATGTAACCTAGGGCAGGCGGAACTTCAACAGATACTAATTATGCAAATGATGACCTAATTTGCATAATTAATGTGAAAATTCTATGATTTCGTAATGGTGAATGATGAGAATGTCATACTTGGGACATCTGTAAGTTAATCAAAAGTTAACATACATCACGATGCATATATCATGTTAATGCAGAGGTCATTTGAACAATTAAAGAAGAAATTCACATTTACATATCAAGATCATATTTCATGGAGGTATGAGATCTCGGAATTCTAGTTTCTATATAATTTCTTTCAAATTCTTTTTTTTTTTTTAGTTTTCTGGCAAATCACTCTGTTTGGGACTTTTTTCATGGCCCTTACCCCCGGCCAGTCCGCGGTAAAAAAAAAATGAGGCGAAAGGGGGTTTGAGGGGTCAAATTTGAGTTCACAATTCTCCTAATCTGTTGTGAAATTATATCAGATAATAATATGACTGCAAACCACAGGAGTGGCGTTTTTTTGGGTTTTGATTTTTGGCTGGATCCTCACTTCAAAGCATTCTAAACGCTTTGGGCGTGATCCGCCCATTTGACCCAGATTGTCCCGCGACTTTTACGGCCTGCAAGGAGTTGTCCCGACAACACTCTACGCTGAATTCGGAAACCTCTCGATTACGCTTTATGTTAAATTCCAAGTGGCTACAACGCATTACGTAGAATTAAAACGCCGAATACGCTCTACGCAAAATTTTAGAGCGGTCCGTCTACGCTCTACGTAGAATTAAAACGGCCGAAAACGCTCTACGGAAAAGGGCTTGCGGGCCCCCTTTTACGTGGTGTGGGCGGATTTTGGACCCCTCGCCTCGGGCCGTGGATGATTACAAACATTTTAGTACTAGGATTTTCTTAATCATTGACTCAAGTCTATACTTGTATCTTTGTATCTTCCTGCCAACACGTATTATCACTGAAGTTCTGCCGGAAATATTTTTTTCTCTTGGTTTATCCTTCGCGAAAATTCCCAATTTTGTGCATTGATTTTTATATGAAAATAATAATTTTTCTGTTAATTTCACAAAAATATATATAACCAAAGTGTTTGAAGAAACAAAACTCCACAGAGCTTATGAAATCTTCCAACTTTTCGTGACATATGACGTCGATAACAAAAGTCTTCTGTGACTTTGCGGGTCTTGATACGCAGAGCAAATATGATATATCGATATTTTTAACATACAAAAATATTGCAAGTTCAGAATATTTTTATGCGCAAATGTTGAAAATCACATGCATGTTGCTCTTGGGTATTTCGAGCCCTGATGTATGTGTATCATGAATGTACATGTACATGTATGTTCGGGCCGATGCCGAACAAACCAGCCTCTTTACCCCCCGTCCTTGGGGTAATAAGCCTCTAGAGGGGTCATGTCAATTGCCACCAAATTCTAATCATTTGCCTCATCAGCAAGACCTACCATTTTGGTAGGTTGGTAGCGTAAAGCACCAAATTTCATGACACTCCATCCATTGCTTCTTGATTTGTTTCTTGTGCCCTATTTTATGTAAAGGTTTGACCTGTAACGTTTCCTAGAAACGTATGAGATTTTTTTCACAAAGTAATACATATGTTTTAAAATGTGATATTTCTTAGGTCTACAATTTCTGATATTTGTTGCCGTCGGACAAATTGAGTCACATCACCAAGCATGACGCAGGCGCTCCCAGAATTCCTGAAAACGGTGATGATCCCGGAAGGTATGAAGAACCACTTCAGATCACTTCACACTTTGTAAACACACTTTACATTTGGAACCGCATGTGTAAGTGTAGCAGTACAATATTTTGCATTTGGGATTGCATTGTTGCAGTAATATAAAATCTAGCTTCAGTGCACTGTGAAGAAATAACACCTAGCTCCAATGCAGAGTGAACAAGAATTCGAAGATCTCATACCTCCATGAAATATATAAGTTTTTGTAATGTTTTTTATTTGTCTTACTGACTATGGAAATAAGGTCATAATTAGCATAATCTAGTTTCATTTATGGTTTTCTAACTTCAAATGACAATATTTTTCGGGTAAAATTCTTCTCCTTTGTCATACTTCATTTCAACATGTCCTCATTAATTATGCAAACGACTTCTAAATTAACATAATATATGTATAGTGGTGTTAACCTTTAAGTAACTTACACATGTCACAAGGTATAAAATTCTCAACATTCGCCAATAAGGAGTCACAGAATTTTCACATTGGTTATGCAAATTAGGTCGTCATTTGCATAATTGGCATCTGTTGATGTTTGTCTTTTTTTTTACCTTTGTCTTCCAGCATACCAAATATCATCACAATCCCTAAAGGCGTTCTGAAGTTATGCTGACTACAAATGTGCGGAAACACAAACACACACAAACACACAGACACGCCAAAAACAATACCTCCATTTTTCATGGAGGTAACAAGCAACACCTAACTCCAGTGCAGAGTGAACAAGTACTAAGTAACACCTAGCTCAACAGTGCACAGTAATTCAGTCATATTAGCCCCCGACTAAGATGACAGACGGTCATCGAAACGTCGACTATTGTTAAAATAATGATTGTGAATGATAAAGAACTTTGCGATTCAACCAGTTACCAACCCGATGGAATTATTAACGGATTCACAACAGTTAATGTTAAGGTAGAAATCATTTTTCCACACAGACGTTTTGATGCCTTGCAGGAAATTAAACGAAATCTGTCTCTCCTTCAAACGACCTTCTGATACGTCCGCGATCAGAGTAGCATGTTGTTAAAAGCTAAATGAACAGCGTTATTGATGATCCAATGACGCACATGAAGTTACTGCATGTATGATTTACATACCTATATAGATGACCTGGAGTTTGGGAAGGAGATCACGGTGACCCACACTGAAGTAGTTCCGGTGTCAGCGGATGTCTACTGGTCCGGGTTCGATGACTACTTCTATCTGCAGGAGAATGTGGGCATGCATAAGAACATGACAACTGTCAAGGGTTAGTCTAGATCTTCTACAGATCTTCTGTGCCGTTGTTTACCGATCACTCTCCTGCATAAGTACAGCATAATACGTTGATAAAGGAGGATTCTACCTGTAGATTTTATCCATTGCTAGCATCATCGGGTTGCTACACCGTGAACGTGGTCATGACCTCCGTCGGAGTACTAAAGTGGACGTAGCCTGAACAGTTGTGTGTTCACAGTAGCCTCTACCAGGCACCGCGGATCGCTGGAAAAATAGTAGAAATTGGCCGAAATAAAGGGATAATATACCAGAGAAGATCCAGGGCCATAGAAGCTCCAATTTGCGACCCACGGAGCCTGTGCGGAGTCGCAAGCTTCAAAAGATATTAAATTAATCCCCCTATTATTCGTACAAAGAAACTTGATCAGCGCTGAAGATCATTTAAGTCATAAACCCGTGGGTCGCAAATTGGAACTTCTATGGCCCTGGATCTTCTCTACTATCCCTTTATTTCGGCCAATTTCTACTATTTTTCCAGCGATCCGCGGTGCCTGGTAGAGGCTATGTTCACAGCTGTAACTCGCGATTCCTTTGCTGCATAGGGACGTAATTTGATGCACGTTGTTCTTTTTATACCATAGCTATATAATATTCTAGCGAAATCAGTTTTCTGATGGACTGTTGGTACAGACCATGTACTCCGTCGATGTTATGGATGTGCGGTTTTCTCAAGCAGATGTTCCGATCATGGTAGTCGCGGCATGGCGGACCGCTAATAAACATCCTCCAAGCAGATCGTGGGCGCGCTTATACCTGATCTCCAAGCAGATGTTTGAGTTTGGGTGTCTGTGTATAGCAGCAGCCGATTTAGTTTGAAAGAGAATAGCCCCAAAATGGATTAACGGGTCGTCATACGGGTGTACATAGATTTATGTATACTAGTAATTATGGCCCAAAGTTCATGCATCCACTGCTTTTCATGATAGGACTCTCAAACATGTGACGTATGTATCCGATGTAGAGGGGAATATCAACAGCTAGTTATTATGTAAATGAGATAATTTTCATAATTGACAAGAAACCCTATAATTTTGTACTGGTGAATAATGGTAAGTCAATTTTTGCGGCATTTGGAAGTGATGTTGAGAGAATAAACATTTTTTATATATGAACTATATGTACATCGGGGCATCGTTTACATTTGATAATTATCTTTTTACGATAACCACAATGATTTCTTTCACGGAGATATGTGTCCTACGGACTCTTGTTACCCCCTGATACGGATACATTAGTCTTGCCATCTATATATGAAGCGTGTTCAATCGTGTAAACGAAGCATATCAGCTACACAAGAGCAATGTTTTATTCCTTTTAATACATTAAGCACAGTGATTAGTTTGTTTTCTACATCTCTGAAACCACAGGAGATGGAGGGGTGGGGACCGTGATCGAGTTTGACTTCTTAGGCGGAAAGACCCAAGAGGAGCTTGTCCAGAAGGACGAGGACACCAAGACTTGGGCCATCGCCATGCTGGGTAGCAACCCTCTCTTCACCACCTACTTAGCTACTGTAAAGGTAAGGCAAATATATGAATAAAGTGTATCAAGTTTGTGTTTGGCTGTGTGTTCGTAGGCTTTTTAATGCAGTAACGTGACAGAAAGCAAGGAAGGTTATGTTAACTAGAGATATACCTTACTCACAGACAGACTGTCAGAGACAAACAGTCGCTTACTCACAGACAAACGGTTAGGTCAAGTTAGAAGTGACTTTACTAGGCATGCAGGGGTAACCACTTTTAGCTTGTTCACAACAACGTTTTTGAACTACATAAACCGGTTAGACGTTAGACCATCTCGTTAGATGTGACAATAAACTGGTGGATGTCCCAACTACTAAGTACCTAATACCAGCCCAGAAGAGAACAAGAAATAGCCATGCATTCAAGTACCAGAGTTATCAACCAAGGATTGAGGTGTTCAAGAATTCATTCTTTCCTAGAAGTATAGCAGAGTGGATCTCACTGTCACCAAGTTCAGCAGGGGCATTGTCATTAGATAGCTTTAAACAATGTCTAGAGCTAGAATTTCAAAGGTTAGGTGTAACAAGTCGATCGGTGTAATATAGCCAGCTGCCGCCGCGCCGCGTGCCTGCAAAGCTGGTGTGTTACGCCGAAAGGCGGTTATACCGGCTATACAGATACAGATACAGAGACAATGAATTCAGAAATTCTCTGTAATATTACACATATATGATAATGCTTCCCGGTTGTTTGAAATCTTTGATTCCTTGTTGTAGTGATGTTTGTAGTGTATAATGCATATTATTTCTCCAATGCCGAAGGTGAACGACGACACAAGTGAGACTGCAAAAGTGACGATGAGGATCACGGGAATTGTTGCCCTTCAGGACTTCGACAAAAGGAGGGCTCATATTGCCTTTACAAAGTACATGCTGCGCAACCGCATCAACGAGGTGTGTGAGAATGAATTACTATGCTTATCTTCGCAGAAGAAAAACATGTTGCTTATTCTCTCGTTCGTCCTCTTCTTCTTCTCCAAACACGTAAGGTCAATGACCTAAACCAGATCAGAGGCTGCGGCTGCTGATCGANATATGATAATGCTTCCCGGTTGTTTGAAATCTTTGATTCCTTGTTGTAGTGATGTTTGTAGTGTATAATGCATATTATTTCTCCAATGCCGAAGGTGAACGACGACACAAGTGAGACTGCAAAAGTGACGATGAGCATCACGGGTATTGTTGCCCTTCAGGACTTCGACAAGAGGAGGGCTCATATTGCCTTTACAAAGTACATGCTGCGCAACCGCATCAACGAGGTGTGTGAGAATGAATTACTATGCTTATCTTCGCAGAAGAAAAACATGTTGCTTATTCTCTCGTTCGTCCTCTTCTTCTTCTCCAAACACGTAAGGTCAATGACCTAAACCAGATCAGAGGCTGCGGCTGCTGATCGACCGAAGGGCGACCAGATATTTGACAGGTCACTCAAAGTTTCATGGATACAAAAACTCGTTACGTTTTATGTGTTTTGCTGTCTGCTATACTTCTATAATGTTGTTTGCTATATGTTGTTAAGCACGTGTCTCTAACAAGTAAAAAAATACAAGAAGTTATTAAATGTAGTATTACGCTTCAGGTCCTCTGCCTCATCGCTGACAAGGATAACCATGTGCTGAAGTTTGAGATTGAAGTCGACTGTCCCATGAAGAAGCTGTGGGATGCCGTGAATGACTGGGCCGGGCACGCCTGGGTCATGAACGCCACCGGGGTAGAAGTCGTCGCTGACCAGCAGAACTACGACCTGCGGAGGAAGGTGTTCTTCGGCCCGAGGTTCATGGAGGAACGTCTGGTCCTGGGGACTGAAAATCCCAACAGTCTGGAGTACGAGTATGGGAGGAATGACAACATGGGTGTTCTGCACTATCGCGGCAAGGTGGGCATCTGTTGAGTGTTTTATCCAGAACCATGCTTGTGCCTGGGCAAATCTATATAATTATGTTCATGGATTTCCGAGGACTATCCAGAACCGTCCTGTGCGTTTCAGCTCACTGTGAACCAGGAACACCGAGCTTCAGTTCACAGTAAACCAGTAAGACCTACATTGTAGTTTAAGAAGTTCACAGTGAACCAGTAAAACCTAGCTTTAGTTCTCAGTGAATCAGTAACACCTAGCTTCAATACACAGTAAACCAGTAAAACCTAGCTTCAATACACAGTAAACCAGTAAAACCTAGCTTTAGTTCTAAGTGAACCAGTATAAAACATAGCTTTAGTTCTCAGTGAACAATAAAAACCTAGCTTTAGTTCTCAGTGAACCAGTATAAAACCTAGCTTTAGTTCTCAGTGAGCCAGTATAAAACCTAGCTTTAGTTCTCAGTGAACGGGTATAAACCCTAGCTTTAGTTCTCGGTGAACCAGTATAAAACATAGCTTTAGTTCTCAGTGAATCAGTATAAAACCTAGCTTTAGTTCTCAGTGTACCAGTAAAACCTAGCTTTAGTTCTCAGTGAACCAGTAAAACCTAGCTTTAGTTCTCAGTGAACCAGTATGAAACCTAGCTTTAGTTCTCAGTGAACCAGTAAAACCTAGCTTTAGTTCTCAGTGAACCAGTATAAAACCGAGCTTTAGTTCTCAGTGAACCAGTATAAAACCTAGCTTTAGTTCTCAGTGAACCAGTAAAACCTAGCTTTAGTTCTCATTGAACCAGTTAAACCTAGCTTTAGTCTCAGTGAACCAGTATAAAACCTAGTTTTAGTTCTCAGTGAACCAGTAAAACCTACATGTAGCCTTCAATTAATTCTCAGTGAACCAGTATGAAACCTAGCTTTAGTTCTCAGTGAACCAGAAAACCTAGCTTTAGTTCTCAGTGAACCAGTATGAAACCTAGCTTTAGTTCTCAGTGAACCAGTAAACCTAGCTTTAGTTCTAAGTGAATCAGTAACACCTGTGGCCTAGGTTCAGTGCACAGTGAACCAGTCATAATTGCACTGATGAACATGACAGACGGTCATCGAAATGACATACATTTATCCTGTTTAATTAACAAGGGGTTTTGAATAAAGATTTTTACTATTGATTGTTTTAATGTGCTCTTCATAGGTGGAAGTACAGAAGATAAGTGACAAGAAGACGAAGGCCAACTACACCGCGACCTTCCTCCCGCAGCCAGGAAAGGACCCAAAACCCGGCATCAAGGCAAACATGGATACTCGTCTGGGGTGGATCAAGGAGACATTTGCGGAGACCGGTACCTGGTGGTGCCGTGTGCTTTGAGGCAGTGGAGGCAAAATGGCGAGCAACAGTAGTGAATACAATGTATGGCAAAGTGGTAAACAACGAGTCTGATATCTACATAATTCTAATTACCGTCAACGGGGTCTATATAGAGAAGTAAGGGTGTTATAATCTAAGTACTGTACTAGTAAATATTGAGCACATAAAAATTTGTGTCTCTTCTGGAAATCGGCATAACAAAATCGTCTTGGGTATAATCACAATAGTTTTAAAACTGATTGAAGCCATTAATATTTGTATTTCTTTCTTTATGTGGATGAAGCAGGTTTATTAATAAGAAGAGAAATTTCTTTTTTAAATATTTCTTTCCACGTAGGACAACGTCTTTCAGTGACTGTTATCATGACAACAACTTTTATCTATTATAAAACAATGGGAACTTATTCTACATTTGGTAATGTTACTAAGCAATAAAACATTATTATGTTTACCTTTGCAGAAGGGAAATGTTGTTTTTGCTATAGTAGAATGGTTTATTATTACAAGAACAAGAAAATGTACACACAAGCCTCCTGACTGCTATGATGGCTGAATTGCGAGGCCTATTCTGACATCATGTTACGACAAACTATATAACGTTACATGCTGTTTTTCCTCTTCTTCATCTTCTTTTTTATCTTCTTCTCCAAACACATGAAGTCAATCACTTGGACCAGATGTCTGTCACCATGGTAACTGGTGCTGTAGCAGACATCCTGTGGTGTTGGGTTACACAATGATGTGCTTGAGTAAGAATAAACGGAGTAGCCGCTTGCTAGGCTAGACCACCTGACGGTAAACATAATGCATTTCCTTTGGCATTGGCATTAGGTAGTTCTCAAAGTTGAAGTCAGTTTCGAATTCACAGACACACACACAGAGAGAGACACACACATATACGCACAAAGACGCACGAACGCACACACACACACACAGTGACACACGCACTCACACACACACACACACAGTGACACACGCACTCACACACACACACAGTGACACGCTCACACACATACACACACACACACACACACATTGACACCAACACACACATACTCACACACATACACACACACGCGCGCGCACGCAGAGACATACGCACACATCAATCAATCATCCGTAGGCATCAGGTGCTGATGCATGGCGGCCACAGTCCTCTACAGGTCCCGCCAGGTGGTCGTGCTTCCGGCACAGACCCTCCTGTCAGTTCTGGTGACATCCAGCTCCTGTAGTCTGCGGGAGACACACGCACAGCCACACAGATACGCCGGCAGGATTTTTTTTGTTTCTAGATATTTTGTAGTTTGTACCTTCTTGTCAAACATATTCGAATTTCGTATTTGTGAAGTGCACCGTACTATAATTTTTACCGCGTCGAAGTGAGTCATCTTGGGGTCGTTAACTATAGAAATCCCCATAGGGCGAAAACTGTGTTCTGCTACGTTCAACATTCACCAGTTTCCATTCCCATGACGCATTGCACCTGGGGGGGGGGATAAAAATTCCAAAGTTGCATAGCACCTTGTGGGCAGATGCCAGTAATACGCGCATGCCCAGAGGGCCCCAAGTGAGAGCCTTCAGCACCTCATGTACAAAAACAGTGTAAAATGTCCTAATGTTTAGAGCTTGCTTTTTTTGGAGCTGGATGTTATAGGTAAGAGTTATTTGCATTTGATTATGCAAAAAATGGAGTTTGGGCTATTTTTGGGGGTGTCCAGGTCGCAAAAAAAGGCATGAGTTTGCATGACATCATCAGCTGGTGAGAGAGGTCAAAGAGCAATCGTGCCTGTTCAGCTTAGCGTTTAGATGTCTTTAGCAGTATATAATATTATTATATCAATACAAAATGGACAGCTTAGAGGCCGAGTTACCCTATAAATGCGTGTTTTTGATGCGGTTTCACTCAGGCAGGTGACTTTTCACACCTTCTTTTTTCTTATATGTTTGCCACGCATTTGAATTGGACAGTCCATTACCGGTCTTTGCCCTTGTAATCTGAAGTATTTCAGTGTTTCTTTTTTTTTCTTCGTTTGTTGATGACAGAAAGTAAAACAATGAAGGTTGCTTGTTTCATTAAATTAATAATCATATACTAAAACATAATTTATAATACAATTTTGAACAAGAGTGATACAGGACGAATGGAATGTACCTGGAAGTGATTGTTCTAAGGAAGCTGCACACAAGTTATCAAATACACAAAAATGACAAACACATGAATCTGGTACCAAACCTGCAGATCTATTAAAAAGCTTCAAAAGCAAAATGCACATACACGATTATAGTAACTAAGCTATTACTTCTCCTGGTTAGTAAATGATGGTAGCTCTAATTTACCTTCACGTGGAGATATCTGTAGATATCTCACAATACCTGACACAGTCCGCAGCACCTCTGTACATGTATGTTAGATCCTAGATTATATTTTCCTTACAACTACAACACCTGCACATTGTTGGTTACAGGTAACTTTAAGCAGAGTCTCACTCTAGAGGAAATGTTTAAATCTCACTAAAGCGCAGCCGTTTTAACATCATGGCGTCTTGTCGACTAGCAACGCTTCTTATAACCTATGGAAGTAACGTTTAATGAAAATGTCACAGGAAGTTAACAATTATACTAGTACATTAACAGTAAGATACACAAGAAGTCTACAGTTATAGCCTCAGAACAGTACAGTAGAGTATATATCAGAACAGTATTCCGCATATGTAGAAGGTAACAAAGTTAATGTCAGCCAATAAGCTTGCTAGCAATTAGCATATATCTTAATCAAGGGCATATAATATCTTTTTATACCACAATGTTTGACAACCAGCCTCACTACACTTTGTTTAGTTCCAACCTTTTGCATTTTGATCTCCTTTACTGCTTCTGACGGTTGTATTGCAACCATAACGGCTACCATGTCGAAGTCAATTATTTGATAAGCCTTTCAAAATGTTTTCCACAAAGCTGTGATGTCTGATCTCTAAAAGGTTGGACATGTTGACCACAGAGCTGTGATGTTTGATCTCTAAAAGGTTGGACATGTTGACCACAGAGCTTTGATGTTTGATCTCTAACAGGTTGGACATGTTGACCACAGAGCTGTGATGTTTGATCTCTAACAGGTTGGACATGTTGACCACAGAGCTGTGATGTTTGATCTCTAAAAGGTTGGACATGTTGACCACAGAGCTGTGATGTTTGATCTCTAAAAGGTTGGACATGTTGACTACAGA